TCATTATGTGGTGAGTTGTATGGTGTGTGAATTGTAGCTCAGTGAAGCTGTTTTTTAAAAAGAACTGGTGGAGGGTCAGATGCTTGGCTGGCTGCATTGGAGGATGAATTGGAAGGAAGGAGAAAACAAAATTTTGTAGTCACAGAGCCCAGTTAGAAGGCAGTTGTAGTTATCTGTGTGAAAGATGGTGATGGCTTGAAATAGGCACTTTCTGTGTCAGTTGGAGCAGTGGATGAATTACAGTTATTCAGGAGGTGATTGGTAGACCCTGAGAGCTGAACAAAATGCCTAGTGCATGGTTGGTTGGGTATTTGACAAACGTTAGCATTTCTTGCTGTGGTTGAATGAGGAAGAATTAATTGGATTCACTAACTGCATTTGGTGTGAGGGTCAAGTATTCTCCTGAATCTGGATTGAGCAGCTTAAGTGAGTAGAACCCAGGGATCGGGCACTCAGGTGGGACGAGCAAGTTTTCAGTGCTAAGTGGGTTTCACATGATCCAAAAAGAGATATTTTAGAATTCTTTACTTCACTTATGGTCAGTTTTACATGATTTATTTCTTAATCATGTAATAGAATCCACCCTCCTCCCTTGTAGGAAATAAATTCTTGAGGGTAAGGGTGATGTTTGGCTATATGTTTATATGTTGCATAGTACAACATATGATTGGGTATTATCTGATGTAGTCGAGAATAAGTCATGACTGACCTAGGTATATATTATTGATAGTTTACATTTATAAAGCATTTTGCAATCTCTTAAGTGTATTTGCTGTGTATGCATATACTTAATTCTCACAGCAGCTCTGTGAATAGCTAGTTATTATTCCTTGTTGTTTTTTAGTCGCTAAGTCATCTCTGACTCTTTTCTGACCCCATGGACTGTAATCCGCCAGGCTCCTCTGTCCATGGGATTTCCCAGGCAAGAATACTGGAGTGGGTTGCCGTTTCCTTCTCCAGGGAATCTTCCTGACTCAGGTCTCCTGCATTGCAGGCAGATTCTGTACCACTGAGCCACCTGGGAAGCCCAGTTATTATCCCAGCCTTACAACAGTGAAGCTGACTCAGAGAGAGCGATTTCCCCAAGGCACTAGCCCTGGCAGTGACAAAGCATGAACCTTCGCTTCTCAGTCTACTATGCTTGCAATTCTACCAAGGGGCCAAACCTCCTGGGACCGCTGAAATAGTGACAAGAAGTGGTTTCCTTAAATGAGATTTGGGCCCTGAGCATGACTGAAACTTGCGTACTTTATCCAGATTGCTTCTGGTAAGTAGTGTAAGGTGTTTGCATGTGGTTGTTGGCTTCATTTTGAAGAGGCAAACGATGTTTGTGTAGAGGTTTATTTAAGTAACCTGAAACAATGAAGAATAGTTCTGTATCACTGACTGTTGGATGAATAACTTTAACACTGATTAGATTACACTGAAACTAAGCCAGCCTACCATTTTATCAGTTAAGATAAAATCAAGTGCAATCTGATGAATCTGGAAACTAGTGAGAGGACTATACATTTATTTTTATAAAAAATCAGTCCTCTTTCTCATGTCACTCCAACCCCTCTGGCTTCCTGAGTTTTGAACATACCTGAATCACTCCAGCCTCTGGACATTTGCAGTTGCTTCCTCTCTGCTGCAGTGGTCTCTGTATCTCCTCTGTACTCTTAACTCGGGACAAAGCTGCCTCGCTGACCATTGTTTAAAATTGCAGTCCTCTTATACTCCCTTGTTCCCATTGAACTCCCTACGTAAACTCTTTTAGTATAGTAGATATATATATATATGTTTGTATCTTTCTCCACTTCCTGGAACATCAGGTCCACAGGCCAGGGATGTTTGTATGTGGTTCTCAGCTATTTTCCCCACACATGGACACGTAACTAGCACACTGGGCATTCAGCACACTAGCATCATGGGCATTCAGTTGACATTTGTTCAGTGAATAGATGAAGATTGTTTTGAACCTAAAATGTCTTTTAGATTAGAGTTCTCCTTTTGTTAACTGTTAAACTGTCTTTTGCCGTATTTCCTGTTGAACTGGGTTGAGTAATGGATCAACTTGATATTTTCAATATTTTCTTCTTTCTTACTGGGGAAGAGTACCTTCTGTTTGGGTGGGAGAGATTAAAATGAGTTTGTTTCCTAAACGTGTCTGTGCTAATTATCAGCAAGGATATATGTAGGAAAAGTTGGCCTCTGTGAAGATATAGATTGTAACCTGAGCAGTAGGTTGACATCAGGTCAGGTGGGTTCACCTTGGCGAGGGCTGCTTCAGACTCCACTACAGATGCTCTCTTCTTAGTTCCCCTTCTGTAGCCTGAAAAATGGGGGGATGACTCCTGTTTGGTTCACATCACTGAGTAGTAGACAGAATCCAGTGAGCTCATGGCAGGGACCTGCTTCGTGAACCCCTTGCTGTTATACAATGAAGACTCTATAGTGTTACCTACCGAGTAGAACATTTCTAGTGTCCTGAGATGACAGTTACCTTTCTCAGTGCCACTGGATCCCTTACCTCAGATGTTGCATTGTTGTTGCATGTTGGTCATTTTATAATGAAGCTCAGAAAAATGATGATTACTGTGGTAAATGCAGAGGGAAAAAAAATCCCCACTGTGCTATATTTCAGAGACAAAAGTGAACAGAAGTTGAATTGACTTTGGCTTTGGATTATCAGTATTCTTAGTTGTCTGAAAGTTGGACACACACACACACAGGGTTTCATTTTGTGGATGCTTTATCTACCAATTACTGATTTTTTTCTTGCTAACTCTCAGCAGAAACAACCAAAGTTTTTTGTAAGTAGAAGTACACTATATGATTTTGTAGGGAGTTATGTTGAATGTACAATTTGGACTTACCGTTTGTTTTTTTTTCTGTTTCTTTTAAGTGCTGAAATAATATTTTTACAGTTTTCTGGAGCAGTTATCTTGTTAACCCTGGGGAAATGATGTTTTCTTGAACTTCTCTGAAGTATGTCTGTCCTGAACTGAATCTGAGAGGCTTTCAGCCTAAACTCGTTGTTCTTTTTAGACTCCCAGGAGACCTTGGTATGTTTTCAATGTCAAAGAGAAATGTTTTAACAACCATGTTAGCTGATGGTTTTCTTTCTTGCATGATTGGCTTGTTCGGGCTCTAAACTTAAGCCCAGTGGAGAAGGTAATACTTCTCTTTGTGTATTTTCAATTGCTAACACTAGCGGCCTCCAGGGACTTGGGGGTTTATTACTGTCTGCTTAGCAGATGATTCATTGAAGCAGAACTTTTGCAGGCAGTAGAATAATTTTTCATTTTCTGGAAATATGTTTAGAAAATTGAAATCCTATCTGAGAGTGCATTTCCTCTGTAGAAGGAAGCAATTTAGGTTTGTGCTCCACAGTTTCACACTTCTGACTTTGCTTATAGATTGTTGGCATTATTGCTCCTTCATGGGTCTCTCTCCCAAAGGTGGTTGTTAACTTTTTTTTTTTTTCCCTGAATGCCTAAGGATATTTGAAGTGCTAATGGGAAGGTCTCTTCTGGTATCAATTTTGACCTAAGAGGTTTGGAGAGAGTACATGATAATGTTTACGGCTTTGGCATGACCAAAGAGCATTTTCTCTGCATTTGAGGCATGTAATTACAACCTGACTTGTTTGTTGTTGTCTGAGTAAAGAGGACAGTCTTTTGTTTGTTTGCATGTAATGTTCCTATCTGGCCTGAGTAGCACAAGAAACAGATGGTTCTCCTGTTGACCAGTTGTCTTCTCTTTCTGCATTGGAGCATCAAGGGCTGGGACCACGGGCTGTTCCCTTGTGGTATCTTCACTTCTGAGGCACATAGATGATGTTTGGTACAAACTTGAACAAGTGAGATGAGATACTGGGGAAGATGATAAAAGATTGCAAAAGAAAAATTACTGGTTATTATAACTGTTCCAAAACTGACCTGTAAATAAAATTTAAAAATTTAAAATTTTTAATAAGAATTGGGTTGGAGTGTGGGGTTCACTCTTCTCATTATGTTACTGTTCAAACTTTCCTTTTGGGCTTTAGTTTTAGAGAGACATCCTAAGACGTTTTCCAGGGCTATCCAGATTACATACTTGTTTTTCCAGGTGGAAATAATTTTTACTATAGTAGGTTCTTTCCCTTTTAAATTAATATTGTGGGTCACAAAACTCCTTTTGTATTTTTGTCGTTCAGTTGTCAGTTGTGTCTGACTCTTCACGACCCCATAGACTTCAGCATACCAGGCTTCCCTGTCCTTCACTATCTCCCGAAGTTTATTCAAAATCATGTCAATTGAGTCGGTGATGGGGTCTAACCCTCTCTAACTATCTCATCTGCCCATGCCTTCTTCTTTTGCCTTCAGTCTTCAGTCTTTTCCAATGATTTGGTTTTCCCCATCAGGTGGCCAAAGTATTGGAGCTTCAGCGTCCATTCTTCCAGTGACTATTCAGAGTTATTTCCTTTAGGATTGACTGGTTTGATCTCCTTGAAGTCCAAGGGACTCTCAAGAGTCTTCTCCAGCACCACAATGATTGTACCCCTCATATGTTGTTTACTGGGATACACTTTTTTATTTTAAAAGGAAAAAACAGTTTGTATACAGAAAGCATCATTTGTCCTTATGCATTCAGATATTGTTCATTATTAGTGTGATAGAAAATCCCAAACCATATGCTAGCTGAGGCCAGCAACTGTTTATGTTTAAATTTTGTATCAGTTGTCCTAACTTTTTTCCTGTGGCCAGTAAGAAGTTTCCAGTGCTAAAGCATGAGTAAGGAAGAGAATCATTGAACAAAATATTATTTTAGGAAAGGAACTATGGGAAAATGTTACAGGAAAACCAATTTCACTCTCTCTTTTTTTCTCCTAGCATTTTTGAAACGTTGGGGTTGTTGGAGTGGTTGGATTTTCCCTGGAATTGAGTGCGAAATTCAGAAGACTGAAGCCCAGGCTTACTGTCTACCTTTCACGGAGGCCCAGCCGTGAGAGGACAGAAGAAGGCACGTGGCGAATCATGACAGCTGACAAAGACAAAGACAAAGACAAAGAGAAGGACCGGGACCGAGATCGGGACCGGGAGAGAGAGAAGCGAGACAGAGTGCGTGAGAGTGAGAACTCGAGGCCCCGCAGGAGCTGTACCCTGGAAGGAGGAGCCAAAAATTACGCCGAGAGTGATCACAGCGAAGACGAGGACAACGACAACAACAGCGCCACCACAGAGGAGTCCACGAAGAAGAACAAAAAGAAGCCCCCGAAGAAAAAGTCTCGTTACGAAAGGACAGACACCGGCGAGATAACATCATACATCACGGAGGACGATGTCGTCTATAGACCAGGAGGTGAGGTGCCTTTGGGTCTTTACCGTGTCTATGGTTGAGAAACGGTGTCAGCCTGTGGATGCAGGTGGACATGGAACCCAGAAGAGTGGGTAGTGGTCTGGGGCAGGAAAACTCCAGGTGGTCAACAGCTCCAGGCTTCAGTCCGCGGGCGTGCTGGCTGTTCCCTGTGCCTACCTCTGGGCCTGCCCGTGAGGCTCTCCTTCTGTCCGTGTCTTCTGCTGCTCATTCTCACACTTCACCGTCTGCCCAGAACTTGGCCTCTTTTCACGTCCTCCTTTGCCTTTTGTCTTCAGCACAGATTAGACTGTGGAGAGGCCCTGCAGAGTGGCGTACACAGTGGGACATGTCAGCCTTCAAGTTTAGGGGAACGGGTCATTTTACATTGGCTACAGGAGTGACCAGAGGCTAGACAGCCGTTTTTAGTGGCCTTCAGACCAAGGTTTATGCCTCCTTTGATCTCCTTTTGCATAGAATTAAGCTTCAGGGCCTCTAATCAGTGATAATAGATGAAGCCAGCTAACCTGCTTTGTTTGCCAGGAAAGGGACTGTGTCCACTCAGTATATTAAGGTTATTTGTGGCAACTGTTCAGACAGAGACAGACCCAGCTTGCAGATAAGGTGTAGGAAAGGAGGTGGTTCAGAACCTGTTGAACACCAGCAATACCCTCCTTTTTAATTTGATACATTGTGTATATTTGGGTACTTTCCTTACAGAAGTCAGTTTAAAAAAAAAACAAAACTGGCTGAAATCAGTTCCTTTGAATTGCTTACAGTGCTGAGGAATGACATGAGTTGCATAAGATGTAATTAACAGGTTAGAAGCCTCCCAGTTTGATGTTTTTCTAGGAGCTGGAGATTAAAGAGATTATGTCATTAACCTGGTACAGTTGTTTTGCTGAGCTGTACTGTAGCTGTGCTGAACTTCATATAAAGTACTTGATTTTTTTCCCCAATATAGAAATTAGTTTTGAATCTTGAAAAATAATGTTTTCAAACTTACATAGATTAGCTTGTATTCACTATACTTTTGGGCTTATGATTAACTGAGAAGATATTTATGTGATATAAAGTTATCAGAATTGAAGTTTCTGGGGGAAATTAGAGCTCTGTTGTGGAGATTTGGTAGTGTGTAGGTTACCGTACTGTCAGGGTCCTTGATTCACCCTTAACATGTTGGACAGTCAAAATGTCTTAGCCACCGAGGAACATATATCAGTATAGACCAATCTGCACAGTGATTGCTAAGGACCTGTGTACTTCTAGATCACGAGAAAGGGACAGAATGCATTAACTTCTTTAAATATAGGTTACAGGGTGATACCTTAAAAATAAGGGATGATCTCATTTGTTATTGTGTCAAAAGGCTGGCTGTCTTGTGCAGAACTGAGGGCCAGCCTTTCTCAGTGGAGAGTTACTCTTTTTTTCTTTTTTTCCCAAAATGCTTCTCCAAAATACTTGTAGCCCAAAATATATGGGAAGTGCTGCATGTACTGTCCCTTATGTGAGACTGTCATAATTAATGATTTGGAGAAGCACTGTAATTAAGGAAACGTCTTTAACATTAAAAAAAAAAAACCAAAAACCTGCCATTTCCCCGATTTGTGGGGCTGTGGCATCCTGTTTCAGCTGAATCTCTCCTTAAGAAAAATCATTTTTGAGAAAAACAAGCTTGTGAACTGTGCACATTCATATTGCATATTCTACAGGATGGTGGGAAATCTTTTCTTCTTGAAGTTTAGAAGACTGTGTGGAGGGAGGTTGGTAATGGCTTATTTTCAAAACAGTAGGTTCTTGTTTTGGGGAGGATCTGTGTACTTAAGGGAGGCAGACATTGTTTCAGTAAATCTGAGGCCTTTATGAAATGTGAAAAAGATATACAGCCTCTCTGGAAGCTGTTATAAAGAACTGAAAACAACAAAAGGGGTTTGAAAATTTTCTGTGGCGCTCTAGCAGAACCACTTGCTGGGAGATGCCCCTGTGCTTGGCCTGGGGTTTGCATACTGCCAGGTCCATAGATGTTTCCTCTTTGGTAAGGAGATGGTCTCTGACCTTCCCAGTGGTTTTGTTTCATTTGGGGTTATTATGCATTTGAAGGTGGATGACTTCTACCAGTAGCTTCTTTCTCAGTGGAAGATGTTAAAATATTGCTTCTTTAGGTGTACCCACACTGCAGAATTGGAAGGTGGGTTACTGTGATTCGATTCCCAGGTGGGACTGTTTTTTTTTTCCTTCTCCTTTTCTTTGTCTTTCTTCTTTCTGGTCTTTGTCTTTCTTGGTGCCGAGTACTACAGTAACATCTTCTGTTGGAGATGAAAACCCTTACATACACTCAACTGCAGAGATTCTCTTTCGTTAGCTGTATCTTAAGGGTTTCAGTAGGGACTTTATGGGGCATCATAAGGGATTCTTCAGTGTATCATTAGTTTTTTGAGTGGTAGACCTTTTATGGGCTTACCTGGTGGCTCAGTGGTAAAGAATCTGTGTGCAGTGCAGAAGTTGCAGGAGACATGGGTTTGATTCCTGGGTCAGGAAAGTCCTCAGGAGGATGAAATGGCAACCCACTACAGTATTCTTGCCTGGAGAATTTCATGGACAGAGGACCCTGGCAAGCTGCAGTCCATGGGGTTGAAAAGAGTTAGACACAACTGAGCACAGTGTCTTTTCATACCTTTTATGCTCATTTGAAATCACAGATAAATTTTTTCCTTTTCCGAACTGGTTTCAATACTCAGTAAATCTAAATTACAAATACCTGCCAAAATGTCATTAAGAATGAGCCTAGCAGCGAGCAATAACATGAGGATAAAAATAGACTGTTATGTAATATACGTGTTTGTCCTTGGGGGATAGTCCTATGTTCATACAGTTTGGTCTGAGAAGAGTGAGGTTTTATTGAGGAAATGAGCATTTAGAATTTGTTGTAGCTAAGGTTTAATCTCATGCTTGGTTACAACCAGTTCTTTTTGATCCTGCTCCTCATCTCTGCAGCTTTATATTGATCTTAGAAGCAAAGCATGATGGACTTTCAGTTACACTGTCCACGTTACCTCCTGCCTCAGGGTCTTTGCACCTGCTGATGCCTCAGGTTAGTCACACCGCCAGCCCCCAACCCAGCACACAGACACACTGAACTACTGCCCCGTCTTGAGTACTCCATTCCAGTGCCCTTACCCTCCTCCCACGCGCCAGTTATCCAGATTTCCTTAATAGGCACAGTCCCGGAGTCATGTATCTTTCCTTCTTGCACTTGTAACAGTAATAATTTTCTGTTTATTTCTATTACTGTTTTAGGACGTGTCTCTCTCCTCCATAAAGGCATCTGCTCTGTTTTTACTTATCATTGAATTCCTGAGATCTATAAGAATAGTGTACACGTAGCGTGTATTCCATAATGCTTGTTTTTTGTTGTTTGTTTTGGTCTCACTGCATGGCTTGTGGGATCCTAGTTTCCCAACCATGGACTGAATCCGGGGCCCCGGCAGTGAAAGCATGGAGTGCTAACCACTCGACCACCAGGGAAGTCCAATACTTGATGCATAAATAAGTTTCTGAAATTTTTATTCAAAAATATATTGACTGATGATGTCACAGAATAATGCTTCTGGAAGTCCATTTTGAATAATTTATTTCCCAGTGAATGATTTAACAAGGCTTGTTATAAAAACCAAAATCAAAACCTTGTGGAGCTCTGTGTATACTTTGCATCTGTGTCTAATCTAACTTCTGTGTTGTCCATCAGCCATTACTCTACTTCAGAGATGACTGTCACGGTGACAAATTGATTTTTTACACAGCTGTGTGCAGCCAGATTTCTCTTATGGGCCTTTTCAGCATAGAGTATTGGTTTCTAAAGTTTGCTGTGAGTGGCATATAAATTTCTTTCTGCTTTTTTCTTCCTTCTTTTCCCTTGCTTTATTGAGATATAACTGATACATGACATTAAGTTTAAGAAAATGTGTAGTTACACAGGGAACTTAATTCAGTCAGGAGGGAAACTGCCATTTGTCACAACGTGGATGAACCTGAGTTCATTATGTTAAATGAAAAAGTAAAGAGAAGTACCACACAATCTAACTTGTGGGGTCTAAAAAAACCAAACTCAGAAACAGAGAACAGATCAGTGGTTGTCACACGTGGGGAGGTGGGGGATAAGGAATCAGGGAGGTGGGTGAAGGCAGTCAAAGGGTACAAATTTCCAGTTATAAGATGAATAAGTTTTGGGGATGTAATGTACAGCATGTGATGGGAGTTAAAAATACTGCTATTGTATTTGAAAGTTGCTAGGTGAATTAAGTTCACATCACACACACACACACACACACAAATAGATTAAGTTCATATCACACACACACACACACACACAAAATTCTCTAGGCCAGAATACTGGAGTGGGTAGCCTTTCCCTTCTCCAGGGGATCTTCCCAACCCAGGGATTGAACTCAGGTCTCCCACATTGCAGGTGGATTTTTTACCAGCTGAGCCACAAGGGATGCAACACACACACACACACACACACACACACACACGAGCATGTGCACAAAATTAGTGATTATATATATATATATATATATATATATATAAAACAAAATGATTATACCACAGTGAGGTTAATTAGTGTAGCCATCATGACATATAGTTACAATTTTGTACTTACTTAGAAAAAAATGTTAAAGCATGGAACTTTAAAAAATATATAGTTTCCCTTTGGTTCAGATTTCTGTTTAAAGAGGGGAAGGGAGTTACCAACTTTTTAGCAAATGATATGTCCTACCATTTCACTCCTGATTCTTCACTGAGTGGTTGATCTCTGACCAGTTAAGAGGCTGAATTCGGTTTTAAAGTCTTGCATTTCTGAATGACTGAAAGCTTATCTTCTTCTGTCACTCAGACAAACATTCCTTCTCAAAGTAAAACTAAAGAAAACCCTGGCATTTGGTGTTCCAGGACATACATTTTTGGAGAAAATAAAAGCTAATTTTATCTGCAACTTTTTATCCATG